TAAACAACAAGTATAACAATTAAACAATTTATCAATTTCATTACTATACTTAAAGTTTCTTTAAATATATAAAATTAAGTATATTATTATTTTTTAGTATCTTTTATAGCATTTTTTCATAGTTTAGTTTTTTAGAGTTAACCAGAGAATCATTAAGAAGAGTTTAATAAATTTTTGCAAATTAGAAGATATGTTTGATTTATTTTATATTAGAATTTAGCAATTTTATAAAAAGTGATATAATACTTAATCTAAGTTTAAAGGTTGTAATTAAAATTATAAAAGATATTTTAGCTAGCTTTATATATATATATACTTAAAATTACAAAACTAAAAGGCTTTAGTAATACTTTTAATATTATATATTATGAATTAAATATTAGAATACTAGCAGATTTTGCAAGTAATAAGAGTTATTTATTTTTTATTTTCAATATAGAAATAAATACTTCTAAGGTTATTCTAGTTCAAATTTTAATAGAAGTCTATTGTATATAGTATATATATACTAGTTGGTTATTAAAAATCTTAAAGTATTCTAATTTTTCTGTTATCTTGTATTAATAATAGTAATAATTGCATCTGTTGCTATAGTAGCAGACCTTTTAAGTAGCTACTTTATTAGAATTGCAGCTACATTATATATTTTGTTTTGTCTATATAAAGAAGCATAAGGTAATCTATAGCAATATATATGAATTCATTGTATTTATAATAATTGTTATTAGAACAGTTTTGATATAAAAAGTTTTGTCTATAGATTTAGCAAGAGATATATTATCCCTTAAATTATAATACAAGCAAATTTGCTTATATTTATTTTTTTAAACTTTATTTTTTTAATAAAATTTCAAATATTAATTTTAGCAATATATTTTTTAATTAAAAAAGACTTTTAAAGATCTACTTTATTAACTTTATTAAAAAAAATTTTTAAAATTATTAAAAAACTTTTGATTAATAGTTTGTAATATTAGAGTTTAGTATTAAAAAATTTTTTATGTTTTTTAAAATTTTATATGTCTTTGAAGCTAGAAAAAATTTTTGCTTTTAAGACAAGTATTAATTTTTACAAGTAAATTACAAAATTTATAATAATTAAAATTATAATCCTTGATTCAAACTAGTGATTGGACCCGGTTAAGTACTACTCGAGTTACCTGCGAGTGGGTGGGTAACCCAGGTTGGGTTTTAACCACCCGGGTGGGTCACTCATGGGTCAACCCATAGATCAACCCACGGGTCACCTGTGGATCACCTATGGTTCACTCCATGGGTTAATAGAAGAATAGCCTTTTAAAATACAAGTTTTCTGTTACAGCAGGCAGTTACTCAGATAGGCAAGTTATAAAGTATAAGTTTCTTTTTGTGGCAAGCCTAAAATAAAAATATTTTTAAACTATATATATACATAGTTCTTTTAATTCTGATTGTTACATATATACTGCATATTGTTACATATATACTGAATATGATATTATTTTAACTCTGTTCATATTTTGAGTACTGTCAAGTGAAAATCTGTTTTACTAAATAAGATTTACAGATTTTCTCTTGGCGGCACTCTTATTTGCTCAAAGATCTAAATCTACATGCAAAATAGTCTGCCAAGCAGTGTATAGTAAAGTTTTTCAAGATTAAAACTTGCACGCCTTAATAATTTCTTTTTAGTTGACGGTTTCTTAAATATTTAATATTAAACCCATGGGTCATATTTTTTACTTGTTGATTAGTATTAATAAGTAAAGTAAACTATTATATTGCTTGAATCTTTGACCACTGCAAATTTATTTTTTTTTTATAGAAATCAAACTTTATTAAAAATAATTGGTTTTTTTTTACAAATAATATTGAAAATAATACAATAAAGAAGAATCAGATCAATATATGTATGTATATACGAGTTGTTAAATTTAGAATCAAATATTGCAATAAAGACTATTTTGTTTTACAAACAATAATTTGTTAACTATTTCAGGTAACAAATGAACTCTTTTAGAAGTGATTTGATTTCCTGCATCAGAAAAAAGCCATTCACTTGGAACAGAAGTGGAAGGGATTGACAGATATTTGTGTGCTATTCTATTCAAAATGAAGTAACGATTCTGATTTTTATGCCACCAATTATAAACATTAGCAGTTTCAGGTAACATTTCTTCATTCAAATAGATTTCAATTTTATTTTTATCAATTTTCTTACTTTGACTAATACGACTGCTGCTACCAAACACTCTCTTCATAAAACAGGAAGTAGATGTAGGATCAGTTTTTTCATTATATTTTTTTAGCCACTCTGCTTCTGTTGTATCTTGTAAACTCCTAAATTTATCATGTAAATTATTGATCATTCTATTTCATGTTTCGCTTTCCTATACTTCCATAGATTTTAATCACAGATCCAATAAAGTGGATATTAATCTAATATCTTCTGAATCTTGCCAGTAATACCAAAGGGAATTATAGATAATACTACAAAGCTTCGAAACAATATCTTCAGGTGAAGATAATCTTTTATCATTAGTAAAGCTTTCATCATTTGAAAATTCATCGTCATCTTTTTTTTAGATTAAAGAATGTTATTTATGATTTAGGATGTTTAATGAATTGAACTTAAGATATTGTATTTAATTACCTTCATCAAAATTAATAACTTCTTCAAAATCATCTAGATCTAGTATACCATCTTCAGCAAATTCAAATTTCAATACTTCGATACTTGGATTGACAACTAAAAGTATTGTATATTTAATTTTACTAAAGTAAGTTGTCAATTCATCAAATGGACTAAATGCCTCTATTAATTTTTTTAAAAATTTCCACTCATCATCATTAAGCATATATTTTTTCAATTTAGCAGAATCTTCTTTTGCACCATATTCATTCTGTAAATGTAATGTTGCGGCAAGCTACTCAATCGCTAGACGCAATATTAAGAGCCTTTGCCAAGATTGGTAAGTAGAATTCCAACGAGTCTTTGTGTCTTCAATAGTACGCAAAATGAATTTTGGCCTTTTATTTATTTCTAATTTATCACTTTCATCTGTTTTGGACAAGTTTTCACGAATATCCTCAGAACTAGAAATTTGAATAATCGATATTTTACTAGTTTGATCATTGTTTGCTAAGTTAATTTGAACCTGGTTAAGGCGTTGAGTTTGTTTTGAAGACTGAAAAAATTTAATAAGTTTGCGAATTTTTGTAGTATATGGGTTTATAAATTTTAGTGCTTAAATAACTGAGAGTTGAAGTGTGTGCGCAGCACATGGTAAGCGTTCTACTCCATCCCAAAGTCGAATAGCTTTTTTCATATTTGCTCCATTATCTGTTATTGCACAAGTTATTTTACCAGCTAATTCAAATTCTTCAACTTTTTTACTTAAATATTCTTTTATCCGTTCACTTGTATACGGATATTCAAACTTCTCAATAGCAAGTAATGCCTCACGCATTTCGAATTCAGAAGTTAGCCAATGGAGAGTTACGCCAATGTATCTATCATTGCTTCATGCGTCCATAGGTCTGTAGTTATGGACGCTGTTTCACAAGTAGTGGAAAGTAATTTTTTAAGTTACTCTATACTTTTATGATAAGCATTATCAATATCTTTCTTAATATGTTTGTTACTGAGCGGTATAAATGCAGGATCGATTCGATTTATTATTTTTCGATACCCTTTTCCGTACACGACGTTAAATAGTAAAGAATCTGTGACCAACCATTCAGCTGTAACTCTTTGTAGCTCCAATTGTTTAGGCTTATTATGCGGAGTTACTTTTTTAAACATTTCAGCTATATTTAATTGACAGCTTTCGTTTGATTTTGATTGCAATTCATTTGGACCAAAAATTCCATGCACTGATCATAAGTGCGTTTGCATGTTTCCAGTTCCTCCATCATGCTTATAGTTTTTATTACAATCTGTGTCTTTGTCTTTCCGTTTTACAATTATTTTGCAAACATCTTGACTGTCTATTTCTTCAAAGTACTTCCAAACATAACTTGGCTTTCTACTTTGATTAACAATATTAACACGAATTTTTTTTGTACTCGGATCTTCTGTAGGTTCTTCTACAGATTTTCATTTAGTGGTAGAAAATTCAACAATGCTTGGGATATCAGCTTCAGAGCTATGTTCGATATTATGAGTTTGTCCAAGATCTGAGGTATATTCAATTTCTGAGGTATCTTCACTAAGATTGTCTATATCTATATCTATTTTGAATACTAATATAAAGAGCAAGGTTATTTACTCCATTAGTCAAACAGGCAAGTATTCCAATTTTGTAAATTAAATTGTGTTTTAGAAAACGTTAGTTTGAAAATTATTATTTATGATATTTAAGAATTAAATTTAATTCTAAGATTTATTCACACCAAAGCACAGCCGTTTATATATGTTTTAGTTATTTATTATCACTTTTAGAATTGTTGCTAATTGAATAGTTTTTTGTAATCATTGATCTAATTTGAGTGATTGCGATTATCTGCTATGTTTCAAGAAATTATACGATAACGAAATCGGATGGTAGCGAAACGAGACAATATTACTTAATGTATCCTATACTACTAACCTTCTATATTTAGTTATTATTTCTATACAGGGTTATTATTTATTACTTAGCTATACTACATATATCAAAAGGTCGAATTTAGTAATACTCTAAAAGGTCAATTGGTGTAGCACTAATTATCCCAAATAGAAATTTGGTTTACTCGTATGTACTAAGCCCGTCTTCAATAAGTCAAAGCTAATAGAATAGCTCCAAAATTCAAAAAAAGGAAATTGCAACAATATTATTTGATTACTAATTATTGTTTTAATTTTCTTTTCTGAATTTCGGAGCCATCCTTAGATGTGACAATAATTGTATGGCCATTGTTGAAGGGGCATATATCGGAAGAGTTGCAAAAAATAGAAATATAATTCAATTGCGGCAAAAAGATCTAAGCCCTTCTCAAGTAAGTTGTGCATAATCTTTTTTTTCAATTATTTTTTGATCAAAGACTATTACTAACGTTGAAAAAAAATTTAGTGGATAATCTTTTTTTTTTTTATGGTGAGGCCTGGTCCAGTTTTTATTGAATAAGATATGCATTACATTGTTTAAAATGGACTACATAAGTTATTACATAGACCTACAGCTAGGACTAGTTTATCCACGTCCCAAAACTCTACTAGAGTGGGCAACAGGCCTACATTAGATTTAGTGTTGCAATGTAAGACGTAGAAATGTTAGTATAGGGGAAAATGGCTGCTCATTGCTCGAATTTAGCCGAGCTAATATGGTGTTTAGATAGATGGATGGAGGTGGATAATCATTTGTTAGTTGGAGTCTATATAATTTGATTTAAATTCGAAACATTTTCGTATAAAGACCTTTTAACTTTTTCATTTGAGAATAAAAATTATCAAATGAATACATTTACAATAAGCATTCATTTGTTGAATTTATCTTTACATAATATTTTTTTCTATAAAGTTTAGTTGTATAAATATAGCGGTGGCATAATGATTATTTATTAATTAATAATTTACGTACGTATGCAATTAATGCTACGTAAATCAACAATGTAAGACTGTTACAGCTAAAGCAATATTACAGTGTATGTTGAATGTTAAATTTATTAGGCTTACATATGACAAACCTACCCTAAAATACTAGAATTCCGAATCAACTTAAATTCTTTCTATTTATCATAAATCAAAAATTTACAGCGTACATCATGTCTGCATCTATACTGTATACTATAATAAAATTAATCGTCAAATTAAACTTGATGAAATAAGAATTTACAAATCTGATCGTGTTAATTAATCAATATCTCATAGATTCATTGATCTACAGATGACCTGATGATCCGTGGGTTTAGCACTTATCCTATCCATAAGATACTCACAGGACACCCATGGGTCACCTGTGGGTGACCCACGGGTGACCCACCCGGGTCAGACCCGGGTGGCCTATTGATTCACCCGCGGGTGACCCGGGTGATGTTTTTTTAACGGGTCCAATCACTACTATAAATACTATTTTTCTAACTGTTCTCTAAATGCATACTGCTAAAAGCTTTGTTTTGGTAAATTGCACTTAAAGAAAGTCGACTATATAATGGATGCATTAAATAATCTTTATACTTGCCATACCATGACAAATAAAATAAACTGAACTAAATTTGGTGAATTTATAGTAAATATAATACGAACCTGAAATATATAACTCTTGTTGCACAATTTTCTGGTACTCTGCTGTGATTCAGGATATTTCTAGATTTATTTTTAAAAAAACTGGCAATAAGCAGTTGAATAGTACAGTACCTATATTTGGTAAATCTCAAATATTAGTAAATTCAGTTTAAGAGTTACGTTTTACGAATTCCACTTTTCTTGTTATAATATACTCTCAAAGATTTAAAAGAAAAAATATCTGATATTTGTAAATTTGGTTACAGAGCAAGCTAAAATTGAAATATATCAAGTACTTTGTTTGATTTTATAGGTCTAATTAATTAAATTAATCCAAAATATTACTTAGTAAATGCTACATATATATAAAGTTTGACAGAAAAAAGTATTGTTACTTAATAACTTTATAATTAAAAATTAGAGATTCTATTTTATTATTTGTGTTACTTTAAAATAAGATTTGATAAAAAATTTATTGATGTTACTTATAACTTGAAAATTTCAATTTGGGTCTTGCTAATATATAATCTGCATCACATTATCATATCGAAATTCTCTGATTAACTGGCAAATCATCAATTAAATGAATATCTTTGTTATATGTATGTTGTGCATCAAATTGAAATCTGTGTCAACTTAAAATTCAATATTGAATTTCATTAGAATTAGGGTTTAGCTCTATGTTAGGGGTTAAAACAAGGTTAGAACTATAGTTTAGGGTTAGGGTTAGGATTTCAGTTTTGGTTTAAAGTTAGGATAGGTATTAGTAGTATTATTGATTTTAAGTTGATACATATTTTAATTTGATGTACAACATATATGAATTATGAAAAATTATATATTAATTCTAATTTATTATTATTAATGTTAATTATTCGAGAATTATTATTAGTAATTTTATTTGTTTTTATATGTAGATATATTATTCTGATCTTTCATTTTTTCAAAGTAAAAGAAAAAAATAACATGTAACAAAATTTATATACAAAAATTAATCTAATTAAACAATTTGGGTTAGTATACTTATCATTATTATAGTATTATATTTCATATTATAAATAAATTATGTATAAAGTCATAATATTAACACAGGTTGTTCAATAAGTCTTAATAAATTATATATAATAAAACCGATAGAGTTATAATTTTATTTTGCAAGCAAATTTTTATAACCAAATTGATCTTTTATCTTTTAAGAGATTTTATATAACAAAAAACTATATAATGAAATTAATATCTGCTGTTAAAACATTTTTTTTAATAATTTAGCATTTTATATATCTTGGCTATTCTAGTTTCATTAACTGATTGGTCAATTAAAGTTACATAATTGTGGTATAGTAAAGACAACTTATTCAAACTCCTCTTTTATAATATCAATTTTATTTTAACTTAATTTAGAAATTCTTAATGCTGAATAAGTTCTTAGTTACTATATTTTATTCTTATCTATACTACTAAAAAGGTTATAATTTTTCTTACTTTTTTTATTTTTTTTTAATTGTATTTTCGAAAAGTTAGATAGAAGCTGTTTTTTAACTTCTTTATAAAGTTTTTTCTAAGATCTATACTTTTTATTGGTTTTTATATATTCAGCTAACCTTTCTTTAAGCTTTTTTCTAAAAGCAAAATAATATATAATAATTTTTTGATTCACACTTTCAACTCATTCTTTAGCCTTAACAATTACATTATATAAAATTAGAAAATTACTTGAGTTTGTAATAGATTCAGCCTAAAAAGTAGTACTATTTGTTGAAGAGCTTGGTAATTTTAGTTCTTCAATAAGTTTTTTTAATAAAGATAAATTTTTATCTTTAGTTTTTACTTTCTTACTAGACAATTTATTTTTAGAAGTATCTTATCAGGTCTTTTGCAGGATTCTTTCTTTAAAAGAATAGTATTTTGGTCTGTTGAATAATTACCTTCACTGTTTCTATTCTTATTTATATCTAGCATATCTTCTTTTAAAATTTCTAATATATTTTAAGATTGGATATTATGTTTTTTCATTCTTCTAACTACTGATGATATACTTGATTCAGAACCTCTTCTACTCTCTATTTTGATAATTTCAACCTTCTTACTACAACTAGAAAATGGACATATATTTGGCATTGTAAGTAAAAGTTTTTTTTAAATACAAAGTCTATGAAACACATATTTACAAGATAGTGTTGTAAATGCTTTAAGAGGATATGAAATAATTTCTTTTCTATATTCTAAACAATTACTTAGATCTGAAATTTTTTTACTTTTAACAATGCTATTCATTAGAGTTTTTAAAATATTATATGCAAGATTTTTAATATTAATAATAGAAGTAGATAGTGCAAAAGAAGTGATAAACATATTTTAATTACAACTAGATAAGTTTTATATAATGAAATTCCTTATACTTAGCTTATTAATATAGTTTATTTTTATAACTAATAAACCTAATTTGCAAATTTTTTTAAAAAACTAATTTCAGATTCGACAATTTGTTTATTCATGAATTAATTGGTATGAATATGGATCACTCAATCTACTAGCAATCATGATGATTAGTGAAGAAAAGAAGTATATACTTCATAGATTTTTATTTTATATTAACACAGCCTAATTTATAAAAAACAATATTAATATAAAAATATATCACTTAATTGTAATCTCAAGAATAGTATTAGGAAAATAGTGAATAATTTAAGTTTCATATACTGTTAACTATCGATATAACAGACACCTTTAGACCAGAATCACCAGTTTAACAGATCAATTACAAAGTACAGAATTTTTAATATATAATTTAAACTGTTATAACAGATTTAATAGTAAAAAAGCCATATTACGTATAACAGAAATCTTTGCCAGCCCATATACCAATTTTAATATAAAATTCTAACCTATATTACGGATTCAATATAATGCAACATCTTACGACCAATCAGAGTGCAAAAAAAAAGATTAAAAATTTTTTTTTTTTTAACTAACGCTACATATTATTATAATGGAATCTAGCCTAACTTTGTTATTAATTCTATTATATAGGTTATATAGGTATAACAGATATGCTATATAACAGAATTTTTTGGCTAGCCCAGATTTCCGTTATATCGATAGTTGACAGTATATAAGAATCAGCAAAATTTTTTGAACTTATATCAAAGATGATTAAATTGCTATTGCTTTAAGCATCTGCTCTATTTTTTTATCTGATCTTTCACAATTCTCTTCTTTAGCTATTTGATAATAAAGCTTATATAATTCCTTTAGGCTAATATACAGATCATTGAAAAACTCTTTCCGCTGATCCTCTGAATACAAATTTGACATAAACAAAAAATTAACAAAACACATATTTTATTAAAGAAAACACAGTTCGCAGTACTAAGTAAAAAGAAAGAACACACAAAATAATACCTAGTCTCTTAAAAGATGAAGATAAAAATATTAAAGCTTTAGACGAAAAAGAAGAAAAACAGCAAAGAACCAACGAAATTTTGCTCTTTGTAAGCAATTTTTGGGAAATTGCACTTGACTCTGTATTGCAGATCTGTTGTTGTTACACAAATAAAATACGCATTGAGAAGTAAACAAAATAATCTAATTGTAAATTACGTGACAAATGTAAACAAAGAAACAACACCTAGATTCGGGTACTAAAGAAAAAAAAGATTCTAGAAAACAAAACAAAATGGCAGAGATATTGAATAAATTAATAGAAGATTATTTAGAAGAACTGGAGCTTTATAATGACTGGATAGTCGACCTTAAAAAAAAAAGAAAAGAGCAACAAGCACTTCAAAGAAGAGATATAGAAGAGAACTAAATTCAACAACTTGGACAAGAAAATTTACTCTTTCTAACACAAAACAATAGAAAAGAAGATAAAGAAAATTTAGAATTTTTGACAAATACAGAGATGTTTGATATGCAGATAGAAGATTATATAGAGAAATTAGAGCAAGATAAAATATGGATCCAAACTCTTAGACAAGAAAGTTTAGAGCAAAGATCGCAACAAAGAAA